CCAAAATAATCAAGTCCGGTGTATGAGAATGGGCGAACAAATGAGGTGACCCTATCGACTGGCAATGGCGCCATGGTAGGCTGAAGTGGTGTCGCTATTCGTACTTTGCAGGTATTACATCCGGCCCTCACGCTATTGATCAATACTCGCAAAGATGGAACCCAGTATTTACGTCATATTTCGTTGATTGTGACCTGATTGTAAATGTGATGAAAACGCTTATGATACATTTCCACGAACAATCTAGTGAAATTATGATTCTTGGGTAATATGACGGGCCATTTCATTTGCACAGGTAAATTTGGCGCATTTACGATACGTCCACTACACCTAATGAGGCCATCTTCATCAATATACGGGCATAACATTTTCAACGCATTACTTGCATTAACGGGGTGACCACCGCGCATCTGCCGGTACTCTTCGCAGAAAGCGTATCGTTGGGTGCATTTTATAAGCAGGTTCTCAGCGCCCTCTTCATTTACGGTAAGCTCATCCTTTTTTAACGGCTGCTGGTTAATTTTCATTTTCAGGTTAAAAACATACCTTCTCACCCAGGCGATCGTCCTTTTGAGTCGAGCGTAATTTGAAAAGCGTGAAATATCATAGAGCTGGCAACACTTACGATGAGCGATTCCAATATACTTGGTACGGAGCTCTTGCTCAGTTACTTGGAGGCTACATTAGGACATTTGGACCATTTTTCCAACGTCCATCTGGGTCATATTGGATGCATCTCGTTCCATCATCAGCAGGGTTGAGCGTACCAGGAACCCATCTCCATTCGGCTGCATGTGACGATTCCAAAATTTCGGCCAACCGATTGGCAACAAACTGCTGGTACTTATATGTATCGGAGTTAATCCATTTCACCACCGAAGTCGAATCTGTCCACATAACAATATTTTCAACGTCGACTTCGCAGCATTTTAAAATGTGGCACCTAAGTCGAACAGCGAATACCGCTGCTTGCAGTTCCAACCGTGGCATCGATACATATATTGCTGGTGCGCAGTTTGACTTTCCGGCAGCAAAAGCTAGTTTCACCCCCTCTGGAGCCTCAATTCTCCAGTAAGCCACCACCGCCGTTGCCGACTCACTAGCATCACAGAATATATGTAGCTGCTACTCCTAGCCACGACACCCACCGGCCACAAAGCTCCTCAGGCAGTTCGTCGTCCCATGCCACTTTCCTTTTCCAGAACGTCTGCATGAACACTTTGGCGATAATTGTTAAATTCCCCAGCAAACAGAGGGGATCAAAAACGGACATTATGATGCTCAACATCTCTCTTTTGGTTGGTTTCCGCTGAAGTTGCAATATTTCTTTCAGAACTTTGTTAAACTTCAGATCAAATTTAAAACTCATCGTTATGGTTATCCCACTGCATGCCTAAGATCCGCTCAGAGTTGTCCGGTGATACGTTCTTTGTGACGGCTGATCCATTTCCACCAAAAATTTCGTTGACTTGTTTCGAATTCGATAAAATTTTTCGCAGATTAAATCCTGCCTCAGCATGAATGTTTATTACGTCTTGCACAGTTGCGATAACTTCTTCCTCTGATTGGAAGCAGTCTACATAATCATCGACGTAGTGGTGTTTTGTAATGGCTTGAACTGCTCTTTGCTTCGAGTCAGCATACCTTTTAGCGTTGTAGTTTTTCACGAACTGAGCAATTGTTGGCGAACATGTTGCTCCGAAAACCATACGCTGCATGACAAAATGAGAAATGGGTTGATCCTCGTTCGACCGCCACAAAAAACGCTGACAATCCTGATCAATCTTTCTAATTTCTATTTGCAATAACATTTCCGCAATATCTCCCGTGACCGCAATCGGAGCTTTGCGGAATTTGAATAGCACGTCAATAAGAGGTTGATTTATATCTGGTCCAGGTAAAAGAGCATCATTCAGTGACATCCCTTGCACTTTAGCCGCGGCGTCAAAAACTAGTCGCAATCCTGGTTTATTCGGATTAACAACAGAGAAATGAGGCAAATAAAATGTTAAATTTGAACGCGTAGCTTCTTCTGATGCGTTTAAGTGTCTTGCATACTTTTTATCTATTAATTCCCTTTGTTGTTGAGACGCGATCCGGCAAGGAACGAAATAAAAGCAAGCCTTTGCTGTAAACGCTTTCCAAGGCGTGGTGCTTTATTTCACTTTTGTGTGCTTCTTTCACTTCAACGCCAGATCACGAATGAGCTTTTTATATTTCACTAGTGATGTGGTCGTTTTACAAATTTATAAAACTCGATAACAATTATTACGTTACGACATTAAGGTACAAATAGAGCATCAATACGTTTAACAAGCAAGTAACTGCGCTAACAGCCCCTCCCCCGTAAATCTAACCAGATTTACCCAACTCCAGCTTAGCTAAGATGCAGGCCGGCCGCTTAAATGTGCCCGTCTTCGTCTGGACTTCTGCAGATCTCACTTGACCATCTTTTCCCGGGAATACCTTCACCAGGCGTCCCATGAGCCATCTGGATCGATGCTGGCTACTGTCGCATACTAGTACGAGGTCTCCTACTGCTAAGGGCTCTACCGGTTGGTACCATTTGGTTCTTCGGACGAGGTCAGGCAGGTATTCGTTAACCCACTTCTTCCAAAATCGATACTGCATTTGTTGAACTTTTCGCCATTGCTTACGTGTGGCCTGGAACTTCTCTTCCTGCGGGTGCGGTGTTTGCTCGGAGTTTGGTGTACCTATAAGAAAATGGTTTGGGGTTAGAGGTTCGTCAGTGGCGGTGTCCAACGGGATGTGAGTCAGAGGCCTCGAATTTACAATGTTTTCCGCCTCGCACATGAGATGGTAAAGGCTGTGCTCATGTAGGTTTTCATTATATAATGCGTGCCCAATAGCTCGCTTAACGCTCCGCACTAGACGCTCCCAGCAGCCACCAGCGTGGGAATTTGAGGGACAGTTGAATACCCACTCTACATTCTTGTTTACAAGTGCATCGGCTATCTTACCGTCATTAAACTCCTTCAATTGCCGCTTCAATTCTCTGTCAGCGCCGACAAAGTTCGTATCATTATCCGACCGAATACGCACAGGAATACCACGTCGGCACATAAAATTTCTCAAACACATCAGGCAAGTATCAGTAGTCAAGTCCTTCGCCACTTCCAAGTGTATCGCCCGTGTAGTAAGGGAAGTGAATAAAGAGAACCAGCGCTTTTCGCTACGCCGACCGATGGTTATCGTAAACGGGCCCATGTAATCCAATCCTGTGTAGGTAAAAGGCCTAACAAATGGTGTAAGCCGGTCTGCTGGTAGTTGTCCCATCTGTGGCGGTCGAGGAACGGCTTTCTCCTTGAGGCATACTTGACATCTCGCAGCGGCGCGACGTACTTCCGTTCTTATGCGCGGCATCCAATACTTACGACGAATTTCGGCGATTATCGTCGACTCGTTCTGATGTCTCCAAATTCGATGAAAATAGTCAACTATAATTTCTGTTACATGACATTTGTTAGGTAAGATCGCAGGGCGTCTCGTCCAGGTCGGAACCGTGGTTGCTGCGTCTATTCGACCGCCAATTCTCATTACGCCGTCATCGTCCATGATGGGACTCAGGTTCCAAAGCGCGCTGCCCTTCTCTATCTTATCGCCTGCCTGCAGGGAATGATATTCATCCGGGAAGGCTTCCATTTGCACCGCTCGGACGATAAACATTTCAGCTCGTTCAAGCTCGTTTACCTTTAAGTTCCCATAAGCTCGCATTCCTTCCGTGGTACGGCAGTTTTTCACAAAACTCTGTGTCCAGCTGACTACTCTCTTAAGTTTCAAAAAACATGAAGATTTCTTTAAAAAATTGGTATCAATTTGTATTAAAAGAAACGTAAATTTATTTCGAAGTTCCACATTGGTAGCGTCGCATATTACGTTCGGTGGCCAGTTTTTTATCTTCTTCTTTGAGGAATTTCGGTCCGGTTAACCAAAAAGATTCGCGCTTACGATCTCTAGGGCGTGTCCCAAAGTCCGCAGGATTGAGGGCACTCGGCAGCCATCTCCATTAGTTTAACTCGCTATTTTCCAGGATTTTGTTGACTCGATGCGCTACATAAGGCTTATAACGTCGGTGATCTGATTTTATCCCGGCTAGAACGGTTTTCGAGTCAGACCACATCACTACCTTGACCGGGACCTTATCATGGCTGTTGACAACATTTTGTCTAAGGCGCACAGCGAGCACTGCCGACTGCAGCTCAAGGCGAGGAACGGATACGAGTTTGATGGGAGCACATTTGGTCTTCCCAGCGATGAAGCACGTTCGAGTGTTGCTGCATTCATCCTGAAGCCTCCAGTAGGCTACAGCTGCATATGCCGACTCGCTTGCGTCCGAAAACACGTGCAGTTCTACTGGCATTAGCATAAATGTCGCTCCGTAGCAGCGGGGTACAGTTATCTTCTCCAATTCCCGCAGCGCTTGAAGCCACCTTCTCCAGTTCGCATATACCGCATCTGAAACTCTCTCGTCCCAGCCTTTACGCTCTCGCCACATCGCTTGCAGGATTAGTTTCGCTTCTGAGGAGTATTCCGCTGCTATTCCAAACGGGTCAAAGACAGACATTGTTACGCTGAGCACCTCGCGTTTTGTTGGTTTCCTTTCCTTGTTGAAAACATCCCGATTCACCTTCCCGAAGGACAGCACAAACTTTAAGGCATCTTCCTCGGTATTCCAGGACATCCCGAGCACCTTCTGAAACAGCTGGGCGTTTTCCCTATCAAGGTTCAACATAGGCATGGAAAAGGGTTCTTTATTTAAATTGTTAATGACCTCAGAGTTAGACACGAACCTTTTCAGTTCAAAACCACCTTTTTTATGGATCCGAATTACCTGGCTCGTTATTCTCAGGGCATCCTCTTCGTTTGAGAAACAATGTACAAAGTCGTCGACATAGTGGTTATTTTTGATGGCTGCCACTGCTTCAGGGAACTCCTCAAAATCGTCAGCGTTTTTGTTCTTTCTGCGCTGAGCACGGCGAGCATGTGGCTCCGAAGGTCATCACATTCATTACATATTCATCCAAGCGGGCCTTAGGATCGTATCTCCATAAAAATCGTTGTGATGACAAGTCTTCATCTCGAGTCTTCACCTGGTGGAACATCTCCACTATGTCGGCGCAAACTCCGATTTGTTTTTGCCTAAATTTCATTAGCACCGTTCCCAGCGGCTGCAATAAATCTGGCCCACTTAACAGTGCCGAATTCAACGACACCCCTTCTGACTCCGCTGCTGCGTCAAACACTAACCTGATTTTCGTGGGCTTATTCGGGTTAAACACGGCGAATTGAGGTAAATACCAGGTACGCTTGTCTTTGACTGCTGCCTCCTCTTCACTTAGTTTACTGGCGTACCCTTTCGCCACATACCCTGCTATAATCGTCGCATATGCTTTTTTCAAATCGTCGTCGCGTTTAAATTTTCTCTCTAGTGCGTAAAATCTCTTTTCTGCCATCTCCTTACTTGCCGGCAACTCTATGTTATCATCCTTCCACAATAAACACGTTTCAAATTGGTTTCCGTTGCGCTTTGTATTCTCCTGCAACAGTTTCTTTGCCCTCACAATATCTTCGGCTTCAATCACCTGTTTCACAACACCTACGCCCATGCTTTCGTTAATTATGTAATCATGGATGAGGTCCTCCAGCTGAGAAGTTTCGCCCGCTTCACTCACTCGCGCAAACATTGTATGGTAACGCGCCTGGTTCAATGGACGTCGCCCTGCTCCGTAGATTACCCATCCGAGTTGTGTCAGCACCACCGCATAACCTCTGCTACCGTCGTGAGCCGTTCGTCGTGGTACTCCAAGATACGCATTGTCCAATCCTATCAGGAGTTCGGGCACAGCGCCAGAGTACTCGCGTAGTGGCAGATGTTGATCCTTATAATGAAGGTCCGACAGACTTATCGACTGCATTGGCAATTGGAGATTTGAAACCGTACGCACGTTTCGCATACTAAACTTCTTGCTACCTCGCTCAATACCGGAAATCTCTACATCTACCCTACAAGAAGGTTCAGTGACAGTTGTGCTGCCAAACCATTGCAACGTTAGACTATCGCTGTACCCCTTAAGCCCAAGACGAATTGCTAAGGCACGGTTGATTAGTGATATAGCAGACCCTTCGTCGAAAAACGCATAAGTTTTGATTTCTCTCGAATTGGCGTACAATATAACTGGTACAATTTTAAACAACAATTTCGATGCTTTGTTAGACGGGATAGTGTTCGTAAAAATTTGATGTATTCCCTCCGGTGAAACGGGTTGTAGCTGCACGGCTTGTTGCTGCTGCTGTGCTACGTGATTCGATGCTTGCCGTGACGATTGTTGCCTGTGCGATACCTCGCGTATACGTTCTATTCCATTACGCTCGTGAAGAAGGGTATGCCACCGTTTTGTGCAATGCTCATCACCACATTCGTGTTGTTCACGACAAACGCTGCTACGGTGATTGCCTTTCAGACAATTAAAGCAAAGTCTCCTTCGACGAACTAAACGCCACCTCTCTCCTTGATCCATGTCTAAAAATCTTTTACACTTACTAAGTGCGTGCCTCTCTGCACACGCTTCGCATTTACCTCGCCACGAACTTTCACTATCGACCTCGTTTGTGTGGAAAAATCTTGGGCGCCCTTCTGTTCTTGGTTGGCGCTGTTCCAAGCTCGAGTACACACAGGCTGAATTCACAATTGTGGATAATTCTTGTAGCCAGTCGCTAAAGTGGCATATCGTTGGTCGCGGTACAATCGTAGAGGCATGTCGTGCCCACTCAATACGCCTTTGCATAGGCAGTTTAATCAGCAACTCTTCCATCAACGTAGGGTTTGACAAATGATAATCACAATCAGCAGCCTGAAGAAAGGAGGATAAATTTTGAACCTTCGTCGCGAACATCACTAACTGGTCGATATGATTTTCGGAGATTGGTGCAACACTTCGTATCTTCTTTAATTGACTCTTCACCACCAGCTCCGACTTCCCATAGCGTTCTTCTAAAGTTTTGATGATTTGCTTCACGTTTCTGCTGTGTATTAGTAAACACTCGAGCGTCTCCCTTGCTTTGCCTTTGATTGCTTTCTGTAAGCGCATCATGTTCTGCGTGTCACTGTACTGGTACTCCGTTGTAGTCATTATGAATGTTTCCTTAAACATTGGCCAGTCCTCTGGACGGCCGTCGAATTCCGGCAAATCGTAGTTTCCGTATTGCACCCACTTGCGATGTGGTTTGAGAGCGGCCCGTTTCACTGGAGGCAGCTGTAATAATTCCATAGCTATCCCCTGCGCCGACCGTGTTTGCTTGCACCTGCCTAGTCTGTCTCAGTTCCTCCTGTAGGTTTTGAACCTGCTGCAAAATTTCCGCTAGTCTTGTTTCTACCGACGGCTGCACGGTTTGATTCGTTGGAATCTGCTCGACTACGGTTGCTTCAAGTTCGTCGTAGTTATCGCCGTCTCCTTCTCTCGCACTATTATCCGTACTTGTGCCCGAACGTGTTACTGGCATATTTAAAAATGGTTGCTCGGCGCGTGTTTCAATAAAGAAAAAATGGCTACGCGGTGCTTTTCCCGCCTTTTTAATTTTTTGGAGGTTACGTGGTTTTGCCTACTTATGGACCTACTAACCGACTAACGAGCCCCATACCCAAATCAATCTCTCATAAGCACTTACCAAATCTCCTCTCGCTTGTTTGCTTGATACTCCGTACGCCTCCTTGGTCTACGCGCCACTCCACAGGATCTTGCTGATGGCCCCAGTGTGCCCTTCGCTTGATGCGCTCCGACCGTGTACCGCTTTAATACTCCTGGTGCGCGTTTTAATACTCCGAATGCGAATTAAGTCGGCTGGTACACCCTTATACTACCGCGGACCGCAATCCAACGCTCGTGCACAATTTAGTTTCGTTTTTACAATCTTAAAAATGCTGATGCAGGACCCAATGTAGCCGATGCACACTTAATACTTCCGGTGCACACTTTTTACCTAGTCGGCTGCGCAATTCTACTCCACGTGCGTACTCCTATTCACGCACGTCACTTGCTATTTTTCTTTGGCAAAAAGTGAAATAAAGGATGTTGTTGAGACGCGATCCGGCAAGGAACGAAATAAAAGCAAGCCTTTGCTGTAAACGCTTTCCAAGGCGTGGTGCTTTATTTCACTTTTGTGTGCTTCTTTCACTTCAACGCCAGATCACGAATGAGCTTTTTATATTTCACTAGTGATGTGGTCGTTTTACAAATTTATAAAACTCGATAACAATTATTACGTTACGACATTAAGGTACAAATAGAGCATCAATACGTTTAACAAGCAAGTAACTGCGCTAACACCCTTATTTTTGCATCATATTGTTTCGCGTACATGGGATTACTATTCTTCTTCCTCACCTTTTAGCTTGATTGTATCGTTTAATATTTTCAGTGCTCTGTCATCTGCTTTTGACTTCAATGGCCTCGCCTTAGCTTTGACACCGCATGTCTCTATTTCAAAATATTGGCGCATAATCTCGTTCATTTCACTATCGTCGTTGTGTTCAATACGATGAGCGTGTAGTACACTTCTCTTCGCCGTGGAGCATTCTCCAGTAGGGCCAAAAATTACCCAGCCCAAACGCGTTTTAACAATTGCGGGCCCGTTTATGGCCGACATTCGAGGAACTTCAATTGGCATTGGCAAAAATGCATGCGTAAGGCATTAGCCTTATGATAATTATCATTTTGAGCTGGACGTCAGAATAACTATCCAAAAGTACGTCATCAAAACTTGGATTGACTCCCAGAACTTCGTTCTTATTAAATGACTGCTTTGGCAGAATCAAATTTTTGTTCAAATATACTTTCGATATCTTTAATTGTTTTCCATGTGACGCGGTGTCGCTAACACCTAGCTCAACCACTTCGGTAGGTTCTTTTACGGAATGACCATTAAGCCAAGATAGCTCCAGGTGCTCTTTCGTTCCACTTAGGCCAAGGTCTTTTGCAATACTCCAATCCAGCATGGTGACATCGAACACAACAACCTCTTTCTCGCGATTCATTAACTTAACGGGCATGATTTGAAATAAAACCTCATTTGCATTTCTACGAACGTGGCAACTAACCTTTTCATGGGGCACCTCCCCTCTTACTCGATCACTGGTCGATGACTCACGGGAATCAGTATGAATCGAGTGTAATAAACGATTGTGGTATTTTTTTACAATTATTGATTCCACAGCATTTCTTTGAAAAACATTTATTTACGGTATGATTGGATTTAAGGTAGGCAAAACACAGGCTGACTTCTAAAACGTCAATTGCTTTGCATACGTACAAAGTATAACGTTCAATAACGTCGAACTACAAAATGTTGACGATGTATACTTTTCCAAAACGCATCCGAAAATAATTCGAAACGCATCGCTAGCGCAATCAGCGCATCAGAAACAAAGTTGATGCTTCGTTTGTTATTGGTTACCATTGGTGTTTTAAAAATGGAAAATTCATAAAAATTGTTCATTATTATATTGAGTATTTAAAATATGCAATGTATATGGTTGCAATGTGTCGCAACTCTGCATATACAAACAGTTTGAATACCGCAGTATAACAGTTTCCAAACATTGTATTGATACGTTTTGGAAGCCAGCCTCACTTTCGTTTCCCACGATTGAGAGAAATAGAGATTGCGCCAATCGCGGTACCGCTAATCCGCTCTTTGTGATTCTGACAGAATCAGCTGTGTGCGTGACGTCATCTTGGTGCAATTGTTGATTGTGAGCATTTGAAATAACAATTTTAATATATGTGCGTTAATATTTTTGCGTGGTTTTAAACAATTGTTGAGACATTACAAAGGAAAATGAAGTGTTCCGTAGCAAAGTGTAATAGTAAAAACTAAAGGAAAGCGTGCGATATAAGTTTTTTTTTCGTTTCCTACGGACGCAAATCTGGCGAAAAAGTGAAAGCAGTTCTGCCGACGAGGAGATGCATTAAACACCAAATCGAGCTATGTGTGCATGAAGCACTTTACTAGTGAAGATATTGAATAATATTTTTAGTGCTGGTATGAGGTAATGCACCAGTGGATAAGGTCGCCAGGCGCTAATTCAAGCGGCATCTTACCGCGCTGTTTCGTACCTAATACAAAACAGTGGCCAAATTATTTTACATTTAAAGGTTCAGCTTAAATTATCCTTTACTTACATAGAATATTTGTTTCCAAAGAAGCCACACTCATGCATTCTCTCGGAAATGGTACAAAAGTCATCAAATAAAAGCTGTGGAGTCAACAGCTGTGGAGTTTATGGTGGTTGGCTACCGTCCACAAATGTAAATATGCTGCACACCTTCCTTTGGTCTACATGAAATTGCAAACACTGTTAATACATCCATTCTTTCGTGTGCTAAAATTCGTACTTACCTAAAGGGCTACATGTCCAAAGTTATTGCTACGTGTGAATCTTTGTATATTTATTGATTCCTGCAAAATCGGGCCATGCAATATTAAAATTAACACATTTTTCTGCATTGTTTACATATTTTTATATGCGTTTTGGCATTTCTGTCTCGCAATTGCACCAAGATGCCGTCACTCAAAAATTACGCTCAAAAATCCTCTCTCATTGGCGCAATCTTGTATTCTATCATTCTTGTTCGTTTCCTTTACATGCTCCCATCTGCGCTCAACTGGTAGCTTAGTGAACTTTTCACACGAAGCAAGCGATTGACAATCGCCTTCGCAAATAATACATTTACGGCGCGCAAGACTAAACATCGAGTATTTGCCCTTGTTCACTCCAGGCACGTTACCATGCGCACGGGAATTTATAGAAACTTTTGGGGGCGGTAGGCTATCCATCACCATATGCAAGCATGTCAACCACTGCCCAAAATCCACTATGTCACGACCCAATTCCATACATTTTTCAGCCCACTGCATACGACGTGTCATCGGCAACTTCGATACAAGCTCACTAACCACAATCGGGTTTACCAGATGCTGTTGTGCGCCCACTTATTGCAAGATTAATGCCATATTATTCTCATTATTAGCAAACGCGATTAACCTATCTAATTTTCCTTCGGGAACAGGCTGCAACCTGTACCTTTTCGAGCTGGCTCTTTATTACCTGTTCTGGACGACCATATGTTTCCGCTGACGTTGTTAATATAGCATTGACATTTTTCGCTTGCTATTCTTCAGGCTGTCCACCAAACTTTGGCAATGGGTAGATTTTATGAGCTCTGGCAGGTGCGTAACCTAAAGAATTTAAATTAGCAAAATACTCCTGAAGAAATACCCGCTTGTGAGTGCGACCCAGAAGCATTTGTTATTTGAGCTACAGCAGCCGGAAACGATCGAAAGGCGTTGACGTTTGTCGATCTAGCGGTGGACATACCATTTTTAGGTGCCCCAGCTGCTGGAGTAGTTCGTGCAATTGTAGCCGGACGAAAACGCGTAGTGTTGGTCGTTGTTGTCATTTTTGCTGCGCAAGATGTTGATGAAAACACGTCGCCTAGACATGGGTCGGCGGTTTCACGTTGACTTGGAACACCTATCCCACCAGTACAGTTATTTACCCCAGTAGCGGACGCAATAGAGGCTTATGCGTTTAAACCGGCAGCGCTGTTAGGTGTCGTAACGGCAACTCTCAAATTCGTGGCGTAGTCTGAGGTAACGGTACCATCCAATCAAAAAATGGACTAGGGAAAAGAGAGGGCACGCCCCTGTTGCGAACTTTCGCTACAATTATAACGAGTTGTCCCTTCTTGTTATCTACATTCTTTGCTAAAACTGAATAGACTATTAAACTGCATACCTGTTTCTTTTTTAGAAATTCTTTTTAAAAGTTTGCTTTGCAGATTTTTCATGATTTTAATAGACAGATTCATATTAGAATTTAATTGGGGTTTTCTAAAATATAAGCCATATTTCAATACAAAATAAAATAAAAAAAATTGAGCATGTAAAACATTGCGAATATTAACAAAAAACAAAATCATGTACTAAATTTTGTGAATAACAGTATATATAGTACATACCGACGCTTCCAAACCATAATATGCTAAATCAACTTAGACTTAGTCAGACTTAGCATAGTATGGTTTGGGGGCGTCGATATGTACGTCTACTTGTACGAAGAAATGACTTCAACGAACGTTAATAAAGACTTTCATATAGACGTATATTTATTTACAATAAAATCCCATATATGCATTAAAAACCGAGTGCGTTTAAATTCTTAAACAAAAAATTTTATCCATTGGAAAAAATCGGAACGTCCGAACGGGAA